CAATTAAATTCTTATTTCTGTGGGAGCCTGGTACTTCTAACATGCATCGAACTAAGATGTCATGGATCAATTAGGTGTTGGACCTATCTTATGTATGATAGATTTCATGTCAAGACTTTGTTCAATATAATTTTAATACCAGAGGCGATGTACTGTTATTAGGTCCTTTAATGTGCAGTATTCAGTCCTCAATTAAGAGGTCAGAGAGCTAAGTGATATAACGGCGGAGGTTTCTATACTTAGGTAGATAATGAAACGATCGTGCGAACATATTCTGCACGTCTTTTCGCACCGTTGTCTAGGTGTCTGCCGTCCCTACAAATTAATACTGAGGGAATCAGACACTATTTTACTCGTCTCCCAAAGATATCTTCTGATCGATTTTGTTGTAGGACCCAAAATACTTTTGCATATCCTTGGGATGAACTGGATTTCATAGTTTGATGCTTCTTTTGGCTGGACGCTGGTCACTACTGCAGATCCTGGCTTACATTAGTTGGCTGTAGAAGCACACAACATGACGAATAGGCTTGTCTTTAAAAAGAATATTCTACACGACATCTAAGTATTTTTATTTACTATTATTTTTCTGTAGAGACGATTGCAGTTACGCTTGTTATAATACGTTCGTAACTTGTACTACTTAATATTACCTCTATGCTAACTGGATAACTACCAGCTAAGTTGAAATTATTCTGCTTGGAGTTGTCAAGTTTGTATTACATCGTGTTAGCAACTTAGCACTTATAAAACTTTATTGCAGTTTAACAGCGTGTTATCTAGTTATTTTTATGTTAACGAGTACCGGAGTACCTACCTACCTAAGAGATGTTAGAATAATTTACAGAATTTTCATGATTTAGTTTGTGAATCAAACACGTACTTAGATATCTACAGGTTTTGGTTATCAAACCTACTTAGGTTTGATAATTACCTCTATAATTAGAGTTTAGGTCTTTTTTTAACGGGTTCCTAAAATACTGATGCGAATTTCAAATTCGAATCGAATGGACCAGCGTTGTGAGCAATTTGCTACCTACTAATGTTATCTTATACCTACCTAATCATCATCATTAACATCCTATAAGTAGCCACTGGTGACCAAAGGCCTTTTCTCGCACAGAGGTTTGAGTATTAATCACCACGCTTGCTCATACCGAGTTGGCAATTCCAAACTTATAATATTAGAAATTAAAAGACAAGGTTTTCCTTCACCGTTTGTCAGTGGTGTCTAAAAAATCATGCCTAGTCTTACAAAATAAAAAATCACACCAAATCTAACTTCGCTTGGTCAAAATTAAATGAAAATCCTATGCGTTGCAAACATTTGTGTGACCAACACTACCTGTGCTCGGTGTATTGGAAATGTTCTGAATTTTATTTTAGACGTCTGTGTGAGTTCAAAATGTGACAACATCTAGGTATGTACATCGTAGAGACTCTAGGTATACAAAGTATTTGCAAGTGTAGTGGTGTGCTACTGCAGTATGAGAGGGTGATGCGATACCTGGCACATGCCTACCTACGTAGGTGCCTACTTATGTGTAAAAATACCGACTATTTATCAACGGTATCTACCTATGTAATATCAGATACCAATGATAGATTGAATGTTGAACTGAAGCGGAAATAATTCCTAACATCTTTACCTTCTAGGTAGACACCTAGGTAGGTACCTTTATTTGTTTAGGTAAATATTATCATTTTAAGAAAAATGCATTTTAATGTGAGCTGGAAAAGACATAGTAGGTATAATTCTACTATGGAAAAGATCTATCGATATCTATAGGTAGGTAATTGTAGGTAAGTATATCGTTCTCACTAATATATTAGCTACTTTAATCGATTTAAAAAAAAAAAAAGGTTTCCCTACACTAGCATTTTCTCCTGTGTCGTGGGTGCGTTTACAAACATAGAAATTCACATACACTTGACACCCAGACCCGGAACAACACTCTGTGGATCACACAAAGAGTTGTTCCGTGCGGGAATCGAACCCGCGTCACGTTGCGCGGCATCCAGTTGTCAGCCAGTTGGACACTATATACGTACCTACTTATAATAGATACTTGGGCTTACAAGGTTTACGATATTTTTTATTTTGAACATGAGTTATCGGCTTTTAACTTTATGAAAAATATTCACTGATTTATCTACCTACCTCCGTAGGTACTTTTACGTACTTACATTACATTTATGTATCTCCCTTCAGTGTATTCACTCAGCTTTTAGCGTAAACAGTGACGGATTATCCCTAGGGCTGTCTGTATACAGTTATAGGCACAAGCTTAGGGGCGCTGTTTTGAATAGGGGCACCCTCGGATGTTTTTAAAGAGCTCGGATTGCAGGCATTAATATACCTACCTAATTACTAGCGCAATTAGTTGCTGGCCTTGGGTGCTTTCGACATTCAATCCCTCTTTGATCATAATATATTTTTTTCCCTCTTTTTATACAAATGTATTTTCATTACGAAGCTATGCTATTGATTGCACTGTAATAAATGGTTGCACATTGTTTTCACTAGGTAACGTTATAACGTACCTAGGTAGATTGTAAATTTTGAAGTTTAGACTTTCTTTGTTTTCTACTTACAATATCGTTTACTAATTTATTGAGATATTATAGAAGTAGGTAGTCATACTTATGGAGATAGATACAGGACCTTCTTACTTAATGTGTGAAAATGGCAAGAAGCTATTTATAATACTATGCCTACTATAATAGCCGTAGTAATTTTCTTACGTGATCTGAGATGTACATGTATCTACCTATCCCTTTGATGTTGCAGATGTGTGTAGGCAGCGCGGTAACCATTCACATCAGACGAACTATTGTAAGCTTTGTGGCAGCAGAGGCACTATGCGCACCAACTAGCTATCTATAAATCGCCGTAGATTCTATAGCACTAGAACGGTATACAATATGGATAAAGTAATTACGCACGTACACAGTACATACATCGTACCTACATAAACCTAAAATCGCTTAGCAATTAAGTCTAGAATACTGCTTTTGACACTGACGTAACAAGGCGCGTGTCTGGATAATTGGATACCGTACTGGCACAACCCTTACTGATAGGAACGTCCATCTTCATTACCATATACTTACAATTACAATGGACGCAATCTGCCCCCATCTGATGCACTACCATGACAACAAAAGCAGGGTAGCCATAGCAGCACCCTAAATGTGTTCGTAAACTGAATGCGAAGGGCTTAGTGCGCAGTATAGGTAGGTAGGTACACATGTCGGATACAATCACGAAATTATGGAATCGCTTCTAATACCTTTGCTCGAACTAATGGGTACCTCACCGGAGTTGGATTTACTCGAATATATCAAAATGTAAGGATATCAAGATATTAATAATTTTGGCTACCTATCATAATAAATCGACGTATTGTAAAACAGAAGCGGACCCGGATATGTCCGAAAACTGCAACTTTACACCGACAGACGGACAGCTAAATTCTTTTAAATTTTTTAGTGAACTAATTGTCCTCAGCTGATCTTCAAGTTGCCTACCGACTGTGTATGGTAAATATGGCAACGTCTCCACTCGCCGAAGAGGAGTTCGGTTTTCAACTATGTCACATAACATAACTTCACGCATTTTATCCCCGAAGGGGTAGGCAGAGGTGCACACAGAAGTAACAACCTCTTTTTATGTTATGAGTCCCATGTAATAGGGGGAACCTATTGCCATATACCGGGCACTTTTCCAGACTCCGTGCTACTACTGAGATTTTTTTTTAAAAAACCCAGTAATACTTTGCCCGACCCGGGAATCGATCCCGGGACCCCTTGCCCGGCAGTCGCACTTGCGACCATCGGCCATCGAGGCAGTCTGGAGGAAGGTAGATGATCAAATTAGAGCTTTTTATCACCAAATTCAGCACCTATTACTACCCTAAATCTATTAAGTGTTAGCACTTATAAGTAAGTAGTTTTATATTCAGTAGAATAATTGGTTAGCAAGACGGAAACTTACCAAATTACTTTAATTTATTTTTCCACCTTCCCTGCCGTCCATTTTATTATTACCGTATGTTTCTTTAGGTACTATTTCCTACAAATAGTGCCTTTTAGGGCCATCTGTCGCGAGAATACGGAGCAAATCTTACGATTTCATATCTAAGATGGAGCATATCATTTTATTGTAACAGATGGCGCTGGCTTACAAGATACAACATAAAAAATGGAAATAAAAACCATTTCAAATTAGGTTTTATTTATAATACTTTCTCGTTATATAAGTGTTTGCATGCGCATATAGGTAGGTACGATTATAGCAATGCGATTTGGGTAAAATCAACAACACGTTTGATCCATTTCTCAGGTGGGTAGACACTTGAGTGGACAATAATTAGGAAAGTTTCCATTTTAGAAGCTGTTAGTCAGTTTTATAGTATTTCTAATTATTCGCAGAGCATGGCCACATAGCCAAAAGTGATCCTAGTAATAAATTATATTATTATATAGAGTAATACAAGTCTAACTTCTGAACTTAGCATATCCAAGATTCCCTATACTTATTATACTCTTTGTATCCAAGGATGTAAGAAATAGTAGTACAATACCCCAGACAATAAACAAACGTCAATCAACGTCACTCTTTCGTTCGTCGTTCTTTAAGAATTTACGTTTTGTGAAAATAGTTGATGAATATTATATTGTTTCATTCATGTACTCTGTGAGAACTATTAGCAAAACCGAAATAGCTAGGAAATTGTGTCTACTTAATTAAAACAATTTCACAGGTTTGCTATTTATTTATTTAACTACTTAAATATTATCTAATTTACATAATTCCACCTAGGTCAGAACAGCTATAAATAATTTAAAAAACGAGCATCATGGGGAAATAAATGAAATAAAAAAGCGTGAGAGAATTTTGGCACTCCTTAGTGATATATAAAAAATTAAAAATAAATAGTCACTCTCAATTGAGATAAAAAAATCACATTAATAACATGTACGCATTATATTATTATCTAATGATTAGCTCCTACGTTTTGTGCTGGTACTGGTGGGGCTTGTCCTTGTGGGGGAGCTTGTTGGGGAACTTGGTGGGTGGCCTGTGCAGGGACCTGAGCTTGAGCTTGCACTGGCACCTGCTGGGCCTGGCCTTGGCTGGGCTGCGCCTGTCCTTGAGCCTGGACCGGCTGAACAGACGGCACTTGAGCTTGATTTACGTTAGCCTGTGGCGGCGCTTGCCCTTGTGCTACGGGAGCTTGTTGTCCCTGAGGCTGCTGGCCTTGGTATTGAGCTGGGGGTGGTTGTTGGAACTGGCCCTGCGGTGGTTGTTGGTATTGTCCTTGGGGTGGCTGTTGGTATTGTCCTTGGGGTGGCTGTTGGTATTGTCCTTGGGGTGGCTGTTGGTACTGTCCCTGGGGGGCTTGTTGATATTGGCCTTGAGGTACCTGTTGGTATTGGCCTTGAGGTGGCTGTTGGTATTGTCCCTGTCCTTGTTGGTACTGCGGTTGTCCTTGTTGATATTGCGAGGGATGTTGTTGGTAGGGAGGCACCTGTCCTGGAGGCATTTGACCTTGAGGTCCGGGCGGGTAGTACTGCTGTTGGCCTTGGAACTGTTGCTGGTGTGCTACTTGTTGTTGGTAAGCCTGTTGGTGTTGGTAAGCCCGGTATTGTTGGAGCGCCTGGTGAATTTGATGCTGAGCGCCGGGGATCGGTTGGCCGTGGGCATCAACCTGTAAAGAAGACAATTACTATTACAATTTGTTCAATTGACAAGGAATTGTAAGCGATTCATATTATTAGAGTCATTTTCCACTAATTGTTCTGTAATTGCTTCCGCGTCTAAACTAAACAAAGATCTAAACAAAACGAATTACTTTACTTTATTATCCTCCAAGAATGCTAATGAGATATATAATTACTTGTACAAAATATTATGCAATGGTACTTCACCTATATTAGCCGTTACAACGTTATGAATATATAATTGAAATAATTATGTATTCAGCTCTCACAAATATTCTTCAAGGTTGTACCTACTCATACATGAAATATCGTTTGTTTACTGTATTTAGTTCACTGTATGTGACTGGTATCAACAAGACAAATTATTCTTATGCAATGGAACTTTATAATTACTAAGTTTCTCTATCCTAGTTCTTAAAAGTCTAGTGCTTATTAAAAGCTTGTATAGACAATGCTTACCAAGCCACGCTGCTGCAGGTACCTCATTTCATCCATCCGCCTCCTCTCGTACTCTTCGTACTCGGCCTGAGTGTAAACTTGATTCTCTTCCAGAGTCTTCCATCCTGGAATGTAAACAAATCCCATCTTAGAAGCACAAACGAAAATAATGACAAATAATACATTTAATTTGACTTGGTGAGTATTGACTTCCCCTATTTAAATTTAAACCAAGGAAGCTGTTTAGCTACAACAAATTGTTTCCGTGAAACTAACAAGCTGGCTGTTTAAACCTAAATCAGCTTAAAACGCTAAAGCGGCAACGAGCGTTAAAATCTCATCAGTAAAGTTCACAATCAGGCTCCACTCGGCGCGTGTATTCATTAATTATGATATGTTGTTGTGGCAAACGTCTAATTCAATGCCATCAAAATTTTCTTTTTACTCTATATGCCAGAATATCCTAATGCTATCCTATTACATAGATATCTCTGTAATAAGTACTGAATATTGGTTATGTTCTGCATCCCAGGAGCACGAACATTAATGTGAAGGTACATTATAATAAAGTAGGAGCTCGGTCCAAAATGTTAATTCACATGGGAAACAATGAACAAGAAACTTCATCGTTACTCTTAAGGCTAACAAACACGCATTAAAACATACAGAAGTATTTAGACACTCCTTATATAGTGAGAAAAATACAGGAAAACCACCAGCACCTATGCAACGATCAAGGGAATTAGACAATAATCATTCAATTGTGGCGCATATGGCTCTGCACGTACCGACAATCAAAAATAATCGTTTGTGCTGTTAGCAGCTGCAAATTGTACTGAAGTCCTTTGGTCTATTTTTGACCCACCTATTATCCTATTGCGGAAGACTTGCATCTTGACACGGGATGCAGTGGCATTGTTGAATGTTATAAAGTAGGTAAGTGTAGAAGATGATTCGAGATTATTCTTTCGAGAAGTACAAATACTAAGAGACAAAACTATCTCGTTGAGTAGTGTTGTAAATTTTGTATTTAGAATGTTAAATAACAAGCGTAATTCGTGTATTTTTAGGTAATCTCTGAACATCAACATGAAATTACACTCTTATAGAACTATTTTATAATTAGTAAAATATGCAACATAGGGCACATAGACTATGGCAAACCGTATTACGTAGCTTGTCAAACATCATACTTCACTACCCTATTAATGAGGCTCACAATCCAGGAGCAGACTATCACGGGTCGATGATATTGTGTAGTAAAATGGATAGTTTCAAAGAAACCACGAACCTTCGTCCTGGTTGAACTCAGCCTTCTGCGTCTCAGTCATAAACTCGTTGAAGTCGATCAAACCGTCACGGTTCTTGTCGTTTTCTTTGAAGACGTGTTCTCGCATCCTCTCCATTTCCTCAGCCCTCTCATGCAAGTCCTTGTTCGGTCCTCCGGGGCCATACAACTTGTCTAGCTCCTTGATGAACAGAGCCTTCACCTCGTCAGCGTCCCAAACGCCATTGCCGTCAACATCTGTCGATAGTATTATTAAAGTATGACCGTAACAAACGCGAATAAATTGATTTAATTAATATCGAAAAAAGTTACTGGATTGTTCCATTAGTTAGTATTAAGTAATTGAGTGGTATAAAAACTGACTGATAATCTAAAAATGTTCAATTTTTTTGGAATGAGTTCGGGAAATTCTACCGAGATTCCTATGGTCGCAGAAAAGCTACAGGGTTATTACCCGATAACGAAGTCACGAGCAGCAGCTACGCTCTGTTTTACCATAATGACATAATGTTGTCAGTTTTCATTTTTATACTTATGTTTATTATCAGGTTTTTACCTTGAACCTAAACGCTGTCTAAAAGGACTCACGACGCGATTTTCATCCGCGCCCGCCGAGGTGGCGGAATTAAATTTTATTTTCAAAACTCACGAGACCGCGTTTATTGCCCGCAAACTTGGCGGTTGATTATCGCAAAACGGGCGGTTAATAGACCGGGCGGCCCATTGCGATCGCCCGCCGGTGCAAGACGCGCGTCGTGAAATGTGCTAAATTTCTGTATTCTACGAAAGCTGCGTTCCCACAACCGCGGGTGGTGCGGGAGAAAATCGCTTCGTTATTCCTTAGCCTACATAGAGCATATTCATGTCGACAGACTATTGATGTTCACGACACATTTAAACTAGCAAAAAATAATTTTGCATTAACTTTACCTCGTATGACGTGAACACGAACAAGTTCGAAATAATTTAACTTGCGATATTAACTGCACATAATAATGTATATAAATATCCGGGATAATCTATAATTTATTTTAATTAGAGGAAAAATAACATTAAATCTGTGTTTCGATATAAAAATTTACCTATTGTCTAATACTAATAGTTCCATTGCCTGATCATTTATCTTATTGTGTGAACAATGGATAGTAGTATATTGTCCAGAATAAATTAAGGAATGAACAAACAAATCAAATAACAATTACCAAAACCAAATAAAAATAATTACTTCATTAAAAAAACAAACGCAAACGAAATGGACACACTATCATGCACTAAACTACATTATTTTCATGCAAAGCATAAAATGATTTGTGTGAAAATGAAAAATACTTTAAAAACAAATTAAAACTTTTAAACTATTAATTAAATCGTAAAATAAAAGCAACGACAACGAACAAAAGTTACAAAAACTCAAAACTACATGCAGGTATGTAAAATCCAAAGTAGCGTGCGGTAACCGTTGAAACACATTTATTTTTCATAGTGTTCGATCGAGTTACCTACCGCGGACGATTACTTACTAATGCATGTTCTAAGTTTATACTTGACTTGCACGCTATGGATCTTACCATGCATCATGAAAAACACCTTTGCATTGAAATCTTTCGAATCCATTTTGTCAGCGTTTTTCCATATCTCTAACAAGTGATCCTTTTTCACGGGGTGATGTAGCTGTTACAAATAATTAAAAATTAATAACAAATTCGAGTTACCACTCACCATGCATCATGAAGAATGCTTTGGGATCAAATTGTTGTTGTTCCATATGATCTTGTTTCTCCCACACTTCCTCCAGTTGTTGCTTAGAACCGGGGTGGTGAAGCTGTATTTTATCAACGTCACTTTATCAATTTGAGTAAGAAATTCGTGTCATGTGAAATTAAAACTCGAGTCCATATCGAATTACTTGAAAGAATCAGTGGGCCTTATCAGCTGCTAGGTATAATAACGTCGATGTTTTTGAATACATTACAACAACATCGTGTAGGTACTGGGGGAATTCGATTATTATATTAACGTATCATTTTCCTTAAGACACGTCACTACTATTTATTAAGTACAATTCGCAGGACAGTGACTTACCGGCTTGTGGTGTTTAATAGCCTCTTCCTCTTGCTTAGCTTTCTCCAAGTACTCCTTCTTCTGAGCCTCCTCCATGCCCTCTACTTTCTGGTGTTCCTCAAATTTCTTTTGCATTTCATATTCCTAAAAATCGATTTACTTACATTGATATTGCAAAACAGCATTGAGAAAAAATTGGATATCGAAATTTATTTGATCGTAAAATTCGGTACATTAAAAACGTCGTAAATTACGAGGCAAGACTGTCGACTGTTTTAGATCAAAACATTTATAGTCAGTGGGTTTTTTATGACAAACTAGATGCATGTAAAGGCATTTATGCTTTCTTCATTTAAACGTTTTGTAACATACCTTAAATTCTTCTTTCCGCTTTTTGTCAGCAGCTTCTAAGTCAGCAGTAGTCTTCTTAATAAGTTTTTTCAAATCCTCAATCTCAAATGTGTGTGGGTTATTATGATCCAAATGTTCGTTTGTAGCGACCTGTCCTGGGTGTTGTTCCAAATTATTCGTCAATTCAAATTGCTGTCGATGAAAAGAAAGATTTTAGTAAACCTAAAGTCACAAAGGGAAAGAAATATTAGAATACTTTACGTATATTACGATTATTACATTCATATGTACATACATTCGTCCGGAATAAAAAAGTTACTTGGGAATTTTGGTCTAAGATTTTAGTCCATCTTCCCAAAACATAGACATCTATATCACAATCAATGAAATTTCCCTTTCAAAAACCCCTCTTGCAAGAATAAATAGAAAGCAAACTCTGATATCAACAGTAAACAATTGATTAACTACCAAGTGCCTCACTCAGTTAATCAAAGAGTTTTGCAATAAGTCAAAGACGTTATCGTACAAAAGCCCCCGGCGTTGAGGAAACAAATAATTAAATGAGCATTTACCTTAGTAGCCAAATGACGTAGTCTGTCCAACTCGCGTCGTTTGATTTCGTCCAATTTTGTCCTTACATTGTGATTAACAAAGTCCAGCTGTTCAGCTATCTTTCCAGACTATGGAGAAACAATCAAAGTGTGATTTACGCAACGTAATACGTGTAATTATTGATTTCAAACGTTATACAAGCAATGTAATAAGTCATTTGATTGTGAAATAGCGTAAAGACATTATTGCTGTATTATGTCGTAGATTTTTTATGCAATGGTTGATAAGTGTACTTATTTTCTGACCATGAACCATTACACAAAATAATGGGAAATAAGCTTCAAAATATCTGTAAAAAGATTCTTACTCGAACATCGTCTTCGTTAGCCTTTTCCAATCGCTCCCTGAAGTCAGGATCACTCTCCAGAGCTTGGACAACTTCCTTTAGGTACCTGTGGTATTCCATGTATTCCTCCTAAGGGCAAAAGAAGGTTTTATTGTTAGAAAACTTAGGTCAAATATGCTAAACATATTTTAGTGTTGTATAAGTCTAGAAACATAGGTAAGAAACCAAGTAGTAGTTAAAACACACTATTAGCAAGTTTTTTATGAAAAAGACAATTATTTAACAAAGTTCTTGATATTCTACGTTAGAATTTGTTAGATTACGCACAGCAATGTTTATAAACAGATTATGTAACAAAGTTAGTTTTGCATCAGCTACCACACTTTCTAAACCACAGTTGAAAACAGGTTTTCTAGCTTAGACCATAAAACAAATCGCTGTGCATAATTTTGCATGTGTGCCTATAATAGGTGTAACATATCGCTTTGGATTTCATGGTTTGCTCCCGTTTTGAACTAACTCACTAAATGTTTAGTCACAGCTTGATGATTCAGAGTTAGACTTGGATCTGCACTGGACGATATTGGCTCTTCTTTGACATTTTCACTCTTATAGCCTACATGACATCGTGATTTTTATTTACCAAAGGAGATAGATAAAGTCAGAGATGTAGGGACGCGTTGATCATAATCTCTAGGAACATTTCGGCATAATAAAAAATTACAGCTACGCGCGCCGTTCTCAATCTCGAGGCTTCTTAGCGACAATTCAAAGAATAAAAATTTCATTATGTTGGTTGATACAGGATTCGAACCTGAAATCTGTTTCTTTCACTCAACCAAGGCAGTCATGCTAAATTCACAGCATATTTGACGCAAGCTCTAATTTTGACGCAAGCAAACTCAAGAGAAGAAGCTAGTTAAAAATGAGTGTAGATATATTTATATTGCTTCGCTTAGCTGTTACTTTTGGTAATAAAATAGTATCAGTAGTTCTTATAGACAGATTTAATTAATCTAGATTTAGCAAGACTTCCTAAGCCCACTGGAATTATACAAACAAGAACACATGACTATATATTATGCCTAGTTTTATGTCAAAAATCTATAAATTTCAACATTTGTAAGTAGGTATTCAATGTTAATCAATCACAGCTAGGTATAAGAAATCCCCAGTGGGTAATTCTAAGTCAGTCCTACATATAAATGTGTAATATTCATCACCTATCTATTGGAATTTCCCACTGAAGTTATCAATATTTGTTGTACACATTATTTCGTTTTTGATGTGACAAATTCCATTTCAATAAGTTATGGTTAGCCTATTTCCAAACACAGGCAGCAATAATAAATAGTGCTGGTATTATTATTTTTTTTAATTAAAAAAGTAGTTTGTTTTTATTACATTGTGTGGCCAAGCATAACTTAGGCTATTTCGGTTTTCAAATAATTTATCAGTAGTCAGTCTCTCACCCCTTGTTACATGAGACACAATTGGTATCTTGCAAACATGCACCCTCTGCCTCCCTATTTGATTTATTGAGAAATGTGATAATTGTGTAAAATGTAATATTATTTTTTCTACTATTTAGATTTAAAGTTAAAGAGTTTTTATTAAAGATCCATGGAGTTTTTTTAAAGTTTCACCCTGCACAGCTGAGACATCATTAATCTTGTTTAATGTTCTTTGCTCATAAAATATCGCTTTGCTCAATTTGAAAGATAAAAACAATAATAAATTCATGTAAGCTCATTCCCACCTCCTATACACATAATGAAAAATTTCATTGTTAATAAAGGTAGGTCTGTAAACATGTTTACAGAATGTTCATAAATACTGACCTCAAATGAAGCAGAACAATACCTTTGTGTTGTTGATAGAGTCATAACAATTATTGCATTTTCACACATCAATGACTAGGATAGATTGTCACTATTGTTTACAGTTTAGATATGTGCCATTTTCTAAACTGTTTACCTAGTTTATAATGCTACTTTCTCTTACCTCCATTATAACTTAAGGATTTTTAAGCATACTGTTTACTGTTAAAATGTTTTATGTGTATACAATTGAAAACTCATCGGAACATAACACTACAATTCCATTTAAAGAAAATTTAAAATATTCATCAAATTAAACGAGAAATACACACAAAATTATTCAAACTAGGATGAAAAATAAGACATGATGTGTGTACATCGATCCACAACCTTTATGGAAACCACAGAGTCAATGACATTACTTTTACAAGCAGAAATGTAGAAGGCCACTTGCTTCTATTTTTAAACTTGTAACCTTTTGAAGGCAATGAGTAAAGAGCAGGAATGTACTGTATGTACAGTACAAATGGGAACTACCTAATATGTGCCCCGTAAGAGTACATAATAAGAAAAAATTTATAGATACATACCAGGTCATCCTTGACTTCGCTGTCTTGCTCGTTGGACTTATCTGGAGTCACAGGTGGTGCATAGGAACAGTGGAGTATCATCAGCACAAACAATAAACTTGACAGCAACTTCATTTTGCCTAAAACAAAATCATTATCTTACTAATTGATCAATAATTGCTATCTTAGCACTTAATGACAGAAAAAGTACCTAATTAAGGAATTATTTATTCTGTGGTTCAATAATCTTATCAGGTTCTTTCGTAGAAAATATATTAGCGATGACAAAATGTAACATCGATGATGAGTAATTTTCACAAAAATTATAATTGTTGTGGGATTCCTCCCAATGCGATAAGTGTCAATCCCTTTATTTACTCATATTATTACATAAGAAAATATGTAGTTTATACAAAATTTTCATTTATTATTTTTCATTTATGTACAAAAAGCATTAAATAAACAAACCGAACGCAAATTATTAAGAAATAATTATTATACAACTATAACTACTTCCTAAAAATTAAAAAATTAAATAAAACTGCGAATGTATTTTTTATTAATACTTACAAAGACTTCGTTGAACACAATTTTAAAAACAAAATTATTTGATAAACACAATATTACGGAAATGTACAAGGTTTCATCACATTTGTTACTGCGAGCGATTTGTTGAAGTGAAATATCCTATTGACGTGTCCCAATCATAGCCTAACCTCGAAAATAGTGGTGTTACTCGATCAACTAATAGTCGATTATAGTAGTGAGACAGAAAAATAAATAAATCGAATAAATATTTAATTTCCAAGTAATTAATTCGTTTAGATTGTTTTTAATTTATTTATTTATTTAAATTTATGAAAGTGTTGTGTTAAGTGTTGTTGTTTTTGAGATTAATCTCACAAATAAAGTATTTACTATTAATTAGAAATCGAACAATAATCGCAAACTTTAAAGCAATCCATTCATGTTTTACTCCCCATTTACTTCGATTTTATTCGATTAAGATATGGATGACAATTGTTATTTTTTCCCCCATTTAATAAACAGTAAGTTTTCGGAAATATTTGTACTCTCTTCAAAATACTACTTTCTATATTAACAATGAAACAAGCGATTTGTCAAAAAGAGTGTGGCAAGTCTAAATGTTCCGTCGGAAAAATTCTGTGATGTCACAACTATGTGCTGCTGCCGTCGGCCACCGCTGGTCACCGCATGCCGTTTACTTATAACTATGCATTTAAAATCGTAACAACTCTATCATCGTTTAAAGCTAAGATTCAAATTAGCATAAATAGTTAAAAACCATGTTTTGTGTCATATACATTTATTTTAATTAAAATAAAGATAGAAATTAAATTAGTATCTCTTTTTGTCTTACTTTTTTTTTCTTTCGAAATCAGTTACCGAACTCTCTCATTTACTTTTCGATCTATAAACTAACAGAATTTTATTGTTTTTACACGGACGTTTTCGTATTGGGATTTGTTGCGGGTAACAAAGACAAAATTAAAAATATTAATTATTTATTTCAATACTTGGTCCTTCAACAAGTTGAATGTCATTTATCTCATGGTCCCTAACTCAGCACTCACTTACTTATCGTGGTCAGTGAAATTTGAATTGCTGTCGAGGCCATCATGAAGTACACACCGCCACACATCAATCTATACAAAACCAGTTTATTCTGGTGTCGCGTCGCATCATCTGTCCGCACATTTAACGTTCGGTGTATACTGGTTATGTAATGCTCGATGTGTACCTAGGATTGGGATTGATGCTAGACGGACGGCGACTTTCGACTTGTTTTCTTAACTTGGTGGGCGTCAGGTTCTCCAGCTCGATGTCCTGCGAGGAAGCATGTGCACTAACTACTAGATCCAAACAAACAACTACTACTAGATCGAGGCAAAAGTACTCGTGAAACTTTATTAGTGTCGGTGAAACGTCATATAAAATCGCTTCCGTCGGAATTTCAATTCCAAGTTCTGAAATTAGGGAACAGACTTTTATACTCAACTTGGCTTTAATATCGTTGTAAAATCCATCCAGCACTAATAAATGTCTTGCTCTGAAGAATTATGACTAGCTTTAGTTCCAAGTAATGACGTGAAGAGCATAAGGTGTGGTGTGGCATACGCAGGTAGACTGCTAAGCGGTGGACGACCCGTCTTCATTTGTTGTTGTCCTATAATTATATTGTCTGATTATCTACTGTCTAATGATTAGGATTACCCCCTAGCAGTACCTAATGTCCACTGCTTGATTTTCAAATAGAATCAAAATAAGAATCAGAATAGCATATTTGCCTACTTTGTGTCTTACAAAATGTCCCTGTGACCGGTGAGCCATGCAGAGGTGAGTCAGTAACTTTAATCTTATTGAATCTGTGTTTGTTTTGTTCTATTAATTCATAATATGCAACGTTATGCACACAGATTACGTGTTTTATTTATGTTGTATGGTATATAACATATAATATAGGCACATAATAATATATTTCTTATAATAGTTATTTTATTTTAAGGATCATAATATGAGTATCACAATATTTTTTATTTCCTCTGTTCCATGATTATCCCTCAGAGGTTTAATTCACAAAGACCCAATAGACGTCTGCAGTGGATTCTAGATCTTTTATTTCGAATTCTGCAATATTTTCCAACATTGAAATTTAACATGAAATTTTATTCAAATATTACTAACTTTTTTTTCTCATTTAGGGAATAAAAAGTTTAATTTACTTGTTAAAGTAACGAATACTTTTGATGTCATTTTATTTTTATTATTCGATAATATACTGCAGCTCTAGTAAATAAAATAGTAAGATTAATAGTTATGAATGGGAAGCTTTTATCTAATTTTAATCTGTGATGGTTTTTGACATGAAGCACAGGAAGAATGACGTAAATTAAGCTTCCTATTTACCGTTTGTTTACATTTTTTGAGACGCCGTTGTCAACCAACACAATTTTATCAAACATTGACGATTGCTGTGTGAAACTGAAGAATGACTGACTTAATTACATTACACGTGTAACGATTGATTAAATAATTGTTTTACGAAAACCCAGCAATACGTATAAAACAAGATGAGAACTGTTCCAAAGTGGGTGAACAAAATTCATGAAGCCGACAAAGTTGAATTTTCCAGGTAAATACGTATTGGATCTGAAATATGCTTAGCCATGTGGGAAGACTAGTAATTTTACACACACTTGTAGTTGTAATATTTTTGACTCCACCGGTATAAAAGGTTATTAAACTAAAGTAACAGTAACAACAATAATTCGAATATTTGAACTAAATGAGCTTTATTTAATGAATATTGGTAGCATTAAATTTGAAATTCTATTACTTATTAGATTCCACATTTGTACTCTTATTGAGGAATGATTAACTTACTTTTCCAGTGTCCACACAATATGCTTTAGTCCAGATGGAAGCCAGCTGGTAGTAGGTGCCGGTGAGAAGGTTATGGTGTACGATCCTAGAGATGGAGCTCTCGTCCAGTTACTCCAGGCTCACAAAGGAGCAGTCCATGCAGTTGCTTATTGTGGTGATGGCAAGAAGTTTGCAAGTGGCAGTGCTGATAAAAATGTTATTATTTGGACTTCCAAAATGGAAGGGATATTAAAATATTCGTAAGTCATGTGTCGAGTACTATGCTGGCGTTATTGCTTGATCACATTTCAATACCAATAAGACTTCAATATGTGCTTAGCGTCCATATTTTACACATGCCTTTTCCTAAATGTAAATGTCTGATACTATATTTTGAAACAGCCACAGCGAGCCCATCCAGTGCCTTGCTTACAATCCAGTGACATACCACTTGGCGTCATGTGCTCTCACAGACTTTGCGTTTTGGTCTATGGATGTCAAAGCAGTCCAAAAGTACAGGGTATCTGGACGAATCACAAGTTGTGCCTGGTCCACTAATGGTCAGTACCTGGCAATAGGTCTGGCTATTGGCGCAGTGTCTATCAGGGATAAGGTAAGATAATTAACAGTAATCAACAGACTTAAAAAACTAGGTATATATAGTGCACCTGTTATTTCTAAGTGAAACAACACTTGAGTTGTTGCCTGAAGGACCAATTACCCTTCTCTCCTATCCCAATGTCCCCAATCCCATAATCCCCAACAACCTCAAATTCCTGATCCCCAAAATGCCGGTAACACACCTGTAATGCCTCTGGTGTTCATTTTTAACATTATATTGTTAGATAAATTGAAATGATATAAGACTACACTTTAAAAAAATAAAACTATGTATTTCAGATGGGTGATGAGACATACAGAATAGCTCGGGATGCAGCAGTGTGGGCTGTAGCATTTTCAAAATCAGTACTAGTAGTAACAGATTGGAATGATACTTTGTCATTTTATAACACTCAAGGACAACAGATCTTGAAGGACAGAAACATTGGTAAAGGATTTTCTTACTTTTTAACCTACTAAAACTCACTGATGTACTCCTTAGTAAGTAAGTTTCTCGATGGCCGATTACCGATTTACCGATCAAATCAATCCAATAATTTTGAAGCCGTCTCTATATAAACGAACATTGAAAGCTTTCCTCTTCATAATATTTATACCTATTGATAGGAGATGTACGCATGTTTTCATTAATTATCCAACCCTTCATTCGCAAACTCAATCCTCTTTGATGTGTACGAGAGCCGGTAGTCATTATCTGGCCCCTTACTGCGTTGCAGCAAAAAATCTATGAAAGGACCAACCCTCGCTCTGCCAAAATTAATAACAACCCTATCACATGGTATACCTATGTATGATATAGAAGGGATGAAAGTACCCTTATGTACAATTCCACCCTATGTAGTTTCTAGAATGTTCTCTGTACCGGTCAATCACTTCAAAGATTAAATAAGTGTCAGATCAGTCACAGAATGTTAATAATATATTTAAGCATGCATCAGGTTTTATTTCCTGATAAAGAACTTGAGTTGAAAGAGCATAATGCACCTTTCTAGAAAAGGAAACCTAATCAGCCTTGTGTTTAATGCCACACTAAACAAAAATAAAAAAAGAAACAGTTATCTGGTTTTACTTGTATTGTGTTTTTTAACTACTTCCATTCTATGGAAATAGTAGTTCTTAAAATAGTTTAAGTATTTTGGTTTATATCTAATTTAAGTTTAAGTAATGTTAGAATACAATAATTCTCCTTTTTATATATCAGTTTACAGAATATTATAATAGGTATTTACCTATGAAATTGCTGTTTTATATGAAAAAAAATTAAGGATTTTTTTCATGTATTTCTTATTTGTATTAATCAATGCATCTTTACCAACGCAGTGGCAGTTTATTGATATCCTTTTTTAACAAATCATCTGGACAGGCGGCTACAAATTCTTCATAGACATTTTATAGGGAATTTTATAGGAAATAGGAAAAAGTAGTAGTCTATAAAGGGAAACGGAAAGCTTCCAACTTCAGTTCTTGCAACTTGGACACCGTTAGCAGTGCAATATGAGGTCGCGCGTTGTCGTGCAGGAGCAGCGGAGATGAGCAATTGGCCAATGCTAATTGGAGATGTGCCAGCTTTTCCATCATTGTGTTCAGTTCTTCACAGTACACATCTACAGTATTACTCATCCCATTGGGTAAGAAACTGTGATGAATCACACCAGCGCTAACCACCAAACAGTGACCATCACTTTTCTAGGGCCAAGTTTTTGTTTAGGGCATTGTTTAGGTGCTGAACCAGGATCCAACCAATTTGCTGAGCGCTTGCAGTTATCAAACATATCCATTTTTCATTGCAGATAACAATGCGGTGTAAAATTCGTTATTAGTATGTCTATTGAGCAGTGCATGGCAAGCCTTGACGCGTACTTCACGCTGGCGATCGTTGAGTTCGTGGGGCAACCATTTGTCAAACTTTTTTACCTTGCCAATTTGACGCAATTGGACGCATATTGTTTTGATGCAAACGTCGAAAGCTGCTGCTAATTCAGCCGTAGATTGTGTATCATCAGCTTCCACAATCCCCTTTAATTCATCATTGTCGACCAAAGTATTCGGACGACCGCGAGGTTCATTTTTCAGGTCGAAATTTCTAGAACAGAAGCGATTAAACCAATAACAGATAGTGCGTTAGATTGTAGTATTACCTCCGTAAACGTCGTTGATGTTGCGTGCCGTATGTTCCGCGTTGCTGCCCCGACGGTACTCATAATTATGCGGATTTTTGACGTATTAAGACTAATCAATAAACCAATTACTACTTTTGAAAAAAAACCGTGATTTTAAAATATAATTAATTTGAAATTAGAATTCTTAGCCAAACAAAAATTATTTTGTTTTGAAATGGTACTGCAGAACGGCAATTTCATAGATAAAGACCGTGGGTAATTTTGTGTTTGTATAAAGAAAAGAGCAATGTCTGCCAACCAAACTTGGAGATGGAGGAAACAAGCAAATTTAAAATTCATTCCGTCAACATATTAACTAAATCTCAATAAATTTTCAGGCATATCTGCATTGTCTGTTACGATGCTTGGAGCTTTGGTTCTGGTTGGGGGCATCGGTGGGTGGGCTGTATTGACATCAGAAGGGGTTCCAATACTAAACACGCCACAGGAGTGGGTGTGGTCTATTGCACCCTCGCCCACGTTTAATAATCTGGTGAGATTACAGACAGACATATTTGTATTGGTATATACCTATAAACGTATGTTGACCAGGGAGGTACTTTATGATCATAATATTTATCATAAAATTGTTAGTCTGGATTGCACAACAATATGTCATACCATCTTTTGTTCTAAATATAAATGTACTCAACTTGTTAAGTAAGTATTTACAGCATGTTTAGAGAGAATGTCATCATAAATTACACAAAATTATAGCAATATCACAGTACACCAGTAAATAAAGTAAAATAATTATAATTCTAGGCAGTGGCATGTCAGGACGGTACACTCTGGTGCTACCAAATAGTGTTCAGCACGGTACACGGTTTGTACCGCGAGAGGTACGCGTACAGGGAGAACATGACTGACGTCATTATACAACATCTCACAACCGGCAACAAAGTGCGCATCAAATGCCACGACAGAGTGCAGAAAATTGCTATTTACAAACATAGACTTGCTGTAAGTATATTATAGAAATTACTGATCTTCTAAGCCTAAGCCTAAGTCATGGCTGTTACTGATTAAATGTTCTTTAAATGTACACTATTTCGCTGACTATAACACAACCATATAGTCATTACTATACAGTTATAACTTCTGTTCTGAAGCATCTACTTAATGCATCTGCATCTAATAATGCCTCACGAAGTAGGTACTTACGTAACTACCTTATGTCGCGCAATGCTTTACATGACTATGAGTCACTTGTACCATCGCCCAAATATTGAAAGGCTACTCAATTATACCCTGTGCTTAAATATTGTGACATCTCTGTCATTTTACAAACAATTTGTAGCGACAAAAGCATACTAAAGCGCGACTCAAAATTTAGTGGTGTTATAATATTACGGCAAAGTTAACCAAGACTGTAATTATTTACCTTTCAGGTGCAATTACCAGAACGCGTGGTAGTATACGAGCAAGGTGATGTGGAAGGAATGCTGTACAGGGTCAGAGAAAAACTGCCTCAGAAGACAGAGTGCTCACTCCTCGTTGCTACCAGCGATGCTTTACTTTTGTGTCAGGTAATTTAAAATTACTATGTCGTCTCCTTATAATTCCGACCTTATGACATTATCAAAAGGTATAAAATTGCATGACTGAAATTGCAAGCATTCTCTGCATAATATTGTCATCATTTTTGCTATAACTACACACCTATACCATATTTCATTTCAGGATACAAAACTATCAATAATTGGGCGACAAATACCGAAATCTTGGACGGTCCCTGCACCAATACGTTATGTCAAAGTCACCACACTATACTTTGAAGAAGTTCTGCTGTTAGGACTAATGAACGGACAGGTAAAACAATTCTATTATAACGTAGAGACACAAAAAATATACATACAGAAAAACAGTCCAATGGTTTAATTCTTGTCTAGAGCAAGAAATTGAACGCCACATGTAAAATTTAATTATGTAAATTTAAACCAAGTCAATTTAATTTCGGTATTGCCTTATTTTGGCCATCAATTCGCATCGGTAACTAGTAATAATAGAAATACAGTAACTACACATAATGTACAACATTTTAATAACTAAAATTGTACTCACATCTGCCATCTGGTGCTACACACTTCACAAGCACATTTAATAATATCGAAATAAAAATACTGCACTATTTTGCATTTAGCAACACAGTCCGATGGGAATGAAACGAGATACGGCTTAGTAATAAAAAGAGTTGCTCATGCGTCTGATTGGAAACTGCAAGGGGTCTAATTCTGATTGGCGTAGCCTTGGAAACTGACCAGATGGACCTAGCAGAAGGGTTGTGGACACATCTGTCGTTCAGCGTCCAGTTACATGTTGATACAAATCTGGTTTGGCAAAGAGTTTTGGGAGAGGATTAATAAAAGATTTGTTCACGCATAGACTTGAAATTTCGAGGGGTCTGTCACAATTAGCTACTGTTGTGTGCTGGCCTTGGTAAGGTCCAGGTGCGCGGTCCCAGCCCGCAGCTGGCGCCCAGTATCTAGATTTAATATAATGGACGATCAAATAAAAAAACATTGATTGCATGAATAGCGTCACGTGTCCTTTGTCCAGTTATTTCCCATGAGAAATCAGAGTCCACGTGTACCCTCAATCATGGTCATTTATTATGGTACCCTCGATCGTGACTTATGTACTGAAAAGCTTAATTATATACCTTTTTTGGGTTCCGCTGTGAAGGAAAACAAATCCTTGTAGAGTTGGTTCTATGAGCATCTGATGGCAAAATATAGGTTTTATTTATTTGACACCCAATTAAAGAAAGTGACGAAAGCATGCTTCCTTTTTTTAGATATGGCAGGTCGAACCCTGGCAAGGCAGTGCTAAAATGGTGCTTCACACTCCAGCATCAGTACGATGCCTAGATGTGAGTGCTTCCCGCGCCTACCTCGCCGTCGTCGACGAGTCTTCTGTCTGCAGAGTGTACAAATTAGCTACAAGTGAACTGTTATTTACGGTAAGCAGAATTTTAAGTGGCTAATAACACGTTGTTCGAATAATATGATCCTCTTGATGCGATGTTGCAAAATGATGTCATTTTATTAATTTTACCAATTTCACGACTCTTCAGTCAGCGATGGATTATGCCATCGTCACGGTAGTCCTTCCCCCAATTGATTTGATTGTCAATAACAGCCAATCACTCTACCCGAAGTAGTGACCAGCTTTTTCAAATTAAATAATGACTGCGATTCGAACATCAAAAGCACAATTTTAATATGAATTCACTTGACACGTGCCCTGTCCTTGCTTTGCTGTTCACGACGTGTGTGTCGACAGGGGCGCCCTCTATTATACGGGATTCATAATAATATTCTTTCATTTAATCTGAGATCTCAAAAGCTAAAATTGCGCTGCAATATGTTATCTAGAAACCATGCTGTTCGTCATGTAGTTTTGTCATCTCAAAGTTGACAATGGATGGTCACATTTTAATAATTTTTGCATTACTAAGCTCATAGCAGCAACAGCATCCTCCAAAATTTCGACCACCTAACTGCGATCCCAAGTCGCTAAGGGTGGTGTCTTTGTTCAGAAGTTAATGTCTTTCACAGGAAGAGAACATATCCTCAGTATCGTGGAACTCTTGGTGTGATGAGCTGCTGAGTTTATCTGGTGGTGGTCTACTTTCCATAAAGGCCTGTCACTTTCCTCCTGCCACTCAACCGCTGGTTGGCTCCGTTGTTGGATTCCAGGTGAGAAAATACTACATTTGTTGTGTACGTACTGTATGGTCCAGAACTCGACGTTCAATCGACTCCGTATGATACATAAAATCGGATGAATAATTGTTATAACTTAACCGACCACTGGGTGCCGGTTAGACGTCGACTTCTGGGACATCCTGTTCACGTTCAAATGTATCCCAGCGTGACTACTGAGCAAGGAACATTGTTTTTTTATTGGGACTAGCCCGCCACATTCTCCCAAAACCACTACAACTCCTGTAAGAAAGGATCTACAGTAGATACAACCATGAAAACACCGGAACACTGAAGTCCGGTGCGTCCCAGGGACATAAATAGCTATCTTGGTTCCCGCAACGAAATTAATCGCAAGAGGAAAAGAAAGACAATGATAGTTTCCACTTCCCTCGGTGAGTTTCTTTCTGAGGATGATACAGAATGAATTAAGCCTAATGGCACAAAATACTGTGGAACTGGGTATTCAGCCTCGAATATTTAAAAACAGGAGACAAATTACTCTCTTAAAGAGCGAGGGTTACTCAATGCCAACTATCAACTCAGTTAAGAAGACCTGCGAGTCTTCGGGCACGTGGAACGGAATTAGGTCAAATTACGTAATTTCATCCCATTTATTTCCACGTGCCCCTAAAGCGTGGTACCAAATCAGGTCGAACCACATAAGGTGACCTCGGAACACGTGGTGTACTAACAATTAATTAGAGCAAAAACTAACAATTGACATCAATAGGTACTAGACGAGGAAGTAATCTTAAGATAAAATACCCCAAACCTACAAGTACAAAGGTACATACAATACCATTGACTAAGGTCCCTATCCTCTATTCTTTTTCAAACCTTGACCTTGATAGACCCTAATCCTCATTGAAGGCACCCTCCTAATTCAAAATAGGTCAAGTCGACATTGGTTTTACCTAAAATATGTATTTTTCCTCCATGTAATTAAAAATACGCCTTTATTATCTATGTAAGACACCTTTACTACTGACTTTCAGGGTGGGCGAGTATTTTGCTTGCAAGCGAATTCTATGCAAACGATCAAGGTGCCACTGTCCCATGCTGTTCATCAATACATTCACCATAAAATGTTCAAGTAAGTACCCATACATAGGTCTACATCTTACAAAGCTTATTACTACCGCTGTTACATTTCGTACAAGTGCCATTGAAATTCTAATAAGAATCACCGAGTGAGAAATATCTCCCATCGTCAAGAACTTAAACTCCTCAGTTAGAAACCGCGCATGCTCTTTAAGAATAAATTGAATGAAAATAATAAAATAAATATATTATTAAGGAACCACAAACTCATGTACTGGTCACGGAATTAAATTCGCACAGTACATAGTATTGTAATTTTATACTTTGTAAGGGTAAAGGGGAAAATCATTTGTAGTTCTTTATATCGGGTGGTCTTTTGTGAGCTCTTATAATATCAGTTTAAAATCGTCGAGAGTTCAATGTGATGAGAACATTAACCAGTCCAGTTAATAATATATCCATTATCCAGCCTATGGTCCAGTTCTTATTATGTGCCCCTATAATACTCTCGATAAAAGCCCTTTTGTATTCCAATAAGTGTTTTAGAGCGCCCCCTATTACTAGTATTTAGTTTTATTGAAAAGCGAAAGATAAAATTTGCGTTTCAATAAAGTATAATAATAACGTATTTAAATAATACAGTCTGATCTATTATTTGGCAAATCTTTTCAATACATGGACCGTTACAGCTGCAAACATTTTGAAAAACCATTTTGTTCTTATTGGAATTGTGTAATCCGGTCCTGTGTCGCAGTTGCCGCAAGGGTTGGGACCCTCCGTTTTAGTTCCGGGTATATAAACCGGCGCGGGGCGAGCGGTGGTCAGAATAGCTCGAGGTTCCATCGGAGTCAGTTGTGTTCGGTTTCCGCGTATTACAGTTATCTGCAAAATTATTCTAAGTCCTTAAAAGTAAAGTTCAGTGGTCTTGGAATTAATTCAAAGTTCTTCTATTTAAATTGAACCCGTTAATTCGGAAGAAATTATTTTCTAATTGGCCGTTAATTAAATTTAATGTTCTTCAAGTCAAAATTGAGTGGTTAATTTGGAAGTTACGACTTTTACTATTGGTTTTAAAATTTATTCAAAGTTATATCAAGCTAAGTGATATACATCAGTTGCTACATTTCCGTCGTAACTAAACTTTAATATCTTGAAAACTTCGCGATGGCCGCGGACACCGACATCGTTGTACCAGATATTTTTTTGTAAGTACATTTTTAAATTTACATATTTCTTATAGGTTTTCTAGCGTTTAATTTTATTATTAATGAAATATTTTCGTTGACTTTTTCTATGTTGCTAATTGATTTGAACATTGCAGATTTTCCATTTTTGACGTGAGAGCCCGAAATTAGTGGCGCGGGGGAACAATGAGTTCGGCGATTCAACATCAAGTTGCCATCAGGTACGTTAATTATTATAAAAATTTTCTTTCTAAATTAAAACATTGTATTTTGTAAAAATGTGTTAAAGAAACATTTTCACTAACGTTTTTTTTTTGTTACAGATAATGTAAGATTAGGATAGACGTTTGAAAGTTCGAGCGGATTCCTGTTGGTTCCTGTGTTCAACACTCCTCAACAACAAGACTGGCCGATTGCTGACTGCAGAAGTAATGATCCTGGTACGCAGCGCGGAACAACCACAGATTCACCACAGCTAAAATTTCCATGCGTGGGTCCAATATTCGAGGTAACCGTTGTCATTATTATTAATCCGCATAATAGACGAAGTATAATTTAAGTGTGCATAACATTTGCAGTTTCTAATGATAGAATTCCCGGAAATTCTTCATTTTGTTTCCTACGTAATTCTAGATTTCATAGAGTTTCTATAAAAATGTGATTTGATATTTTGCTAAACACGCGAATCGGCCTGTTTTGTTAATTTATTTTCGGCACTATTTTCAGAATCTGTAATTTAAAATTGTAATTGTTCGTGAAGTGTATTTCTGACTATGAAGTCTAATTTTATTGTTGTCTAGTACACCACCATTCACAAGTGTTTTATGCTCATGCAAATTATGCGTATTTTTATAAGGATTTATATTATGCGGATTTGTAATCCAGACAATCCGGTTCGCCTATGTTGCTTAGAAAATAGAAACTCAACAATTAAATTCTCAAAATAGATAAAATTGTATTGGCAACTCAGGATAATTTGTAGATGTAAATTCAAATCATTATTATACCGTTAGCATATTTGTTCAATATGGGAACCAATCTGAATATCTCTGTAACTTTTAAGCAGCTTCGCGGTTATTTATGCTTTGCGTAATTTAGGCTATGCGCTCTTTTTGTTTCGACGTCAGATTATTAATAACAAACCGTGCAGAAATTGTGGACCTGACATGACGAAAATGACTAATGACTATTTCGATTTTTTTTATAGAAAACGGGAAATGCACAAAATGGTTTTACTGATCAATATTTCTGGTCACATTATAATATATTGACATTTTTATAGTTTGAAGGCATAACAGTTTCGATTAAAATCAAAAACACACATAAGTAGCCGTCTTTTTATTACTTCAAAAAAGTTTAAAGTACCACGTTAATGTCGTTTAAAGATGTAAATCTATCAGAATGGTAGGACTATCAGCACTTGTAATACAGTCGTATATCTGATCTAAAATATTTTTATATTTTTAGTCGGGTAAATGCAATCTTCCATATAAAAATAAGCCGGGATTTCCTCCCTGACGCTATAACACCAGAATGCACGAACCGATTTCCACGGTTTTGCATTCGTTGGAAAGGTCTCGGGCTCCGTGAGGTTTATAAAATATAAAACAAAAAAGTTCTTCATCTTTTAATCACCAAACGAAATAACGAGTACACCGGTAGACTACATATAAAATAGATTTAAAAGAACAGTTTCCTGCATCTAACTAATCATTAACAAATTCCAATATGGCAACACGTTTTCTAATTAATATGCTCTGTTAGAGCTTTATACTTATACGATTATTTATTACTAGCTGTTGCCCGCGACTTCGTCCGCATAGAATACTTTTTCAAAATAATAGCAGCCTATGTTACCTCTTTAGTCCTATAGCTAACTGCCAGTAAAAATCGCGTCAAAATCGGTCCAACTATTTCAGAGATTAGCCAGTAAAAACAGACAAAAAATTAAAATTAAAACCTGTGTATCGTATGTATATGCATGTAGTAAAAAGCGGTTATTTCAATATTACAAACGGACACTTATTTTATTAATAAATATCATGTAGGGACTAAATCATTCTTCCAATTCTTTCTTCAACAAATAATTCCCTTCCATTCCTTCGTCAACAAATAAGATTCGTACAGGAAAAATGCAAATTTGTCATAAATAAGGCTATCAATTTTAAAAAGCCCCATGATATAATAGTTTCACTTCATTATATACAACACTAGCTTCCGGCCAACGACTTTGTTCGCACAAATAGATGATATAAAAAATAGCAACGTTTCTAACAAAATTTAAAATTAACATAATTGAATTACTTGAACTAAATTGCAATTTAAAATGAAATAGTAATTGTACTTAGGTCAACTGTAAGGTAATTTTATTTCTCTTGTTAACGGACTTATATATATATTTCATTCATGAATCAAATGGTGCTACATAGCTTTTACCAAGTCAGGTTGGATAACAACTACTTAAATCTGATGTCCGCTTTTATACTTTGTTGCCATATTATTATTTTAGGATACACAATCATAAGGATTAAATTATTGAGCAAATAAATACTATTCAAACCAAAATGCGAGATTCGTTTGTAACAAAAACCAAAAATTTTGGATACTACAGTAATTCAAGCTATATACATTTTTAATTGGGCAATATTTTCTAGTATCAAATCATTCGACATCCACAGGTTCATCCATCCATCTTACAGCTTCCGTGATTAGACAAACATGACCTCTGATGAAAGCAAAAACTGTAGGCCTAATTACGACCCGTCGGCCGGTCAAAAGGAAGACAAGATCCGAATTCCAATTTCAACTTTCTCCTATCGATTGTGTAATTCACATTTCATTTTGAACAAAACCTTATTACAGTGCTATTTAAGTATTATATTTTATAACATATATATTGTCTCGGATCTTTAATATTGTTTTTGCTTTTTCTGCTTCAATATCCGTTCAAAATAATCAATAGAGATAACAATGATCATTACATCGAAAAACAATTTGGCTCGTTTCTTCAAAACACAAAAATACTCAAAATTGATACAAAGTCTTAAAATATCCGACTTTAATTAATTCAGAATCAGATTTTGGCAATCCTCTCCAGAACTTATTATAAAAGTTTGTATTCTGTTTAATATTACTATCTAGTAGATACTTTTATTTAATAGTTCTCACATGGCATCCGCTGTGCCTTAGCAATCCAATATTAGCTTCCATAAAAAAGTCTTATTTATTTACTCTGCTATTTTATCGCTATTATGCTATTGTATAACTAACCGCCGTACTCCGAGTCATTTATGCCGGAATACTGAAACGTTACTCAATTTTAAGTCGTGCTCAAATATCGTGCCATCTCTGTCATTTTACAAAGAATTTGTAGAGATAGAACTATACTTAAGCACGACTTAAAATTGAGTAGCGTTTCAGTATTCCGACATTAATCTTACTTAACTTAGTCCTTAGAAATGTTTTTGAAACAAGAGCGTTACTAAGGAATAGTTTAAATAATTGTTAAATTTCTCTGAGTACGGCCTTTAGATTACGGTTAGGTTAACATAGTTCGTAACAATAAATTCTGACACTTTTTTATAAATTTTGGAACATCAATCACCAGAAAGCAACGTGACCAATGGTCACTAACCAAATTAAAATGTTTTTCGATAATACGTAGGAAGCTAAGGTAAGATATATATATGAAGGGTGTTGCAGATTTAATAACATCTGCAACACCCTTCATTCCACCATTCCACCCATAAATAACACAATAACGTTTCCAACAAACTAGGAACATCCTTAATAGAACAAATGAGAACAACAGACTGACGTGACTGATTGTTTTCATTTGCAAACGTATGAAAATATTTAGTAATAGTTCCGTT